CCCGGGCCTGTCCCCTCGGAGGCGCCCGGCGGTGCCGTTTCCATTCCCGGAGAAAGTTTATAGCCAATAAATGTGAAAATGCTCCGGTTTATTCCTTCCAGCGTGATGCGTGTTACCTCTCCGTGGTGCTTCATTCCAGAGCCTCCAAGAGGACGAGTGCTGCTCATAATATTTACCTGGATTTTCTTTTTGCTTTGTTTTAAAAAAGGAGTTGTCGGTGGAATTGCATTGGTGAGGTGAATGCTTTTGATTGCAGGGAGATTTTTCTCGGTTTTTTTTTTAAGTTTTTGTTTTTAAAAAAATAAAAATAAACATTTTCTAGGCATTGTCTATTCGGTAGTGGTTCAAGAATGAAGGCTCAAGGCTGGAAAGTTAGCACGTGTAAATGTGATTGTTTAGTATGAGGTGGTGTGTTTCACATAAATAGAGACAAGCTGTTGCTGCTGATGGTCCATCTGGATCCTGCTGGAAGACTGTTGGATGCAGTTGTATCCCACTAGGAGCCACCAGTGCTGTCCCGGGAGGTGTCTAAGGGCAGGAGCAGCATGTCACCACCCTTTCCCAGCACCCTTTCCCACCCTTTCTGGTCTTCTGGCCTCCAGAGGTTTAGGGTTCAAGATCTTCTGAACGAGAGTTTGTTTCTTGCTGGCCAATAGGCCTTGCTGGTTTTTAGTTTGTTCTGATTGTGGTAATATAATTTGTTACCTACTTCTTCCCTTCTGTTGGGAAAGATGGTAGAAAATCATTCTTATGAATGGTGTTGTACATAGCTTTATAGACTTCTCTTATACCCCTTTGGTTTTTATTGTTTCAAGTTGAGGAGGCTTCATAGTATCCTGCATGAAAGCTGTGCCATTCCTTTGGTGATCCTTCTTGTCTTGCTTGGTAGCTTTTAAAAGAATTATCTAGTATAACCCTGAAATCTTGTTCCCAAACAATAATGGATAGCAATTGGCTTTGACCTATCTTGTCTCGTGTGTAGTATTTTACACTCCTCTACTTTGCAGTTTATCATCCGGTATTTGTGCTGTGAAGTTCTTGTGTGATTCCTTGCCATCAGTCCCTGTCCTTACTACCATACCTGAGAGTAGCTTCATCATCAAACTTCAGCAGTTCCTTTTCACCATCTCTTCCACACCATTAGCGGATATGCTTATCGGTGCTTTGGAGGCTGTTTCTTTCCTGATTCCTTGCAAGATAACTTTAAAAAATATTTTGGAGTGTATTTAATTTGTCTTTTTTGAAATATAACTGCCCCAAAATACTGTAATTTGTATAGCATCTAAGTGCTGTATATTCTGTTACATGTTTGGGAAGCACAGATTTCCAGTAGCAAGGGAAGACTCCAAGGTAGATTGAAGTTAATGATGTCAGTGGTCTGTGGCTCATGTCATGAAAGTATTGACTGTGATCCCTCTTCAACAAACCCTTAGTTGTTATATCTATTCACATATATTTTATTGTATTCTTTAGTCAAGAAATACAAAGCACATTTGTGAGTGTTCACAGTACCAGAGACTTAGAAAGAATGTAGGCCATGGAAACTCAAAGAAATGATGATTAATAAAGGAGAATTTTGTGGTAGTAAAGCATGGATGTCTCTTAACTGTCAGTTCACTGATTGTTGGCATTTATTTTTGTAACCTTCATTAAAAGCAAGTTGAGATATTTGGGATTTTTCTTTACAGAGATTTTTCAGAAGTCATCCTTTGAAGGGTCTGAATCCTGCTTTTAATCTAGTGGAAGTTCTGAAGTTCAGAGTAGGATGTAACATTCAGAAGTCAAAAGAAAAGGCACCTGATTAGTCACGTCACTTGAAAAACTGCATTGTATATCTGTGCAAAGTAGCCAGTCTTTCTTCTACAGCTGATTAATAGAAGTTTTAAAATTGCTTAATTTTTGTTATTATTAAATGTAGTGTTTGACAAATGAGGTATGAAGCAGTAATAGATTGTTTCACAGTGAACTTCTTTTTCATGGGAAAAGTGTGCTTATTATGCTTTAGTTGGGTATTTCATACATGTCTACAAATGTACAAATTGCTCATGGGAAACAGAAGATGCTGCCTTGCCCTGAGAACTTGGAATGCGTACCCTTGCTGAGAGTAATCACAGACTTTACAGAACCATCTTCAAGCTTAGGACTAATGCCAGTTCTTCTGTATATTTATATGAGAGCAGTTTTAATTTCTAGATCTTTAATGAAATGATGAGGCATTTGCCTACTTAATGGCTAAAAAAAAACAAACCAACATTGCTAGTATTACCCCTAGTATTGCAGCCAATGCTCAAGTCAGAACTCGCATAGATATTAAATTAGAGTTCCTGCACGATTGCTGTCCCTGCAGGAGGACTGTACATCTTGGATATCTGTATCTGCAAATCTGACTTTAAGAAAAATGCCATTCTGTTTTCTTTCAGTGAACTGGAGCGTCTGAGCAACCTAGTTGGTAAACCGTCTGAGAACCATCCCCTGCACAATAGCGGGCTGTTGAGCCTAGATCCTGTTCAGGACAAAACACCTCTTTACAGCCAACTTCTTCAAGCCTACAAATGGTCAAATAAGGTAACAGAATACATTGACGTAATTTAGTTGTGTGTTCCTACAGAACGTTTGATTCATGATATGGTTTGTTATGAAGTTGGGGAGCATAATATGTACCTAAATGTACTTTTAAGGGTAAAAATGGTGCTTTAGTTGAGAGGAGACTTTTCTACAATACTGAGATGTGCCCTTGTTTTTCAAAGGGAGTGTTAATTCCCAAGTGAAATAATACTTTCCATGTTAGTTGTTTAGCATCTTATGTAGATACAAAGTAAGAGTATAGTGTGTCCTTGCATCTGGCAGTAAAAACTAGCAGAAGGCAGTGGGGTATTAGAGAATAGGATGGAAGTTGTCATCATCAGAAATCTTGATGCCTTTGCATACCATTTGCTGCAGCTAAAAACTATCTGCACCTGGTCTCAGAAGTAACTTTGTAGTCAACAGCTTTGGCATACCTCATGTTTTCAGATTGTGTATATTGCATTGAATTTTAGTTAATGGTAAAAAAAAAAAAGGCAGATAATGTTAATGCAGATTTTTACATTTTAAAAAAAAATTGGTTTTGTTGAAAGAAATTTGTTTCTTGTGAATATAATTCAGTTCCGTAAACCTTTATGCTGACTGTATCTAGAGACAGAAATTGGATAGGTATCTTTCCTGCTCTGCTCTGAATGTAGTCTACTTGTATGTCAAAAATATTCCTTTCCTCATATCTGATTTTATTTGTTTAATAAACACTGCATTATTGCAATTATTACTAATTATTGCTGATCTCTGTCTGGCACCATTATGTTTCAGATTGCCTGTTCCCATCCTGAATTTTTTGAGCATGCTTATTGCATTTTATAGAAACATTTAAACGTTCTTTCTTAAATGCTTTCTTAAAATTATCTCTGAAATATTAGTGAGCTGTTACAAAATGTAAAAGATGGATTCATTTCTCTCCTGATAATTGTTTCTAGTGAGAGATTCTAGAGTTGTAGCTTTTAACAACCTAATACAAGCCAACAGGAATAACCAAGAATAATAAATCTGAAAATATTTAGGGCATTAAAAGAAACAATTCCACTTTATCACAGTATGTGAGCAAGGAAGACTTGCAGACTACACGAATACTTCATAGGCAAATTCTCCTTATACATTGAGCGAACCAATCTAATATTATTCAGATTTAAAATAAATGCTACAATAATGTTTGTATGAATACCACAATCATGTTTGTACAGTTGCTTTTCAGAATACAAATATGTGTTAATGTCTTCTCAAATAAGTAGAATTCAGCATTGACAGAAATTTGGTATGGTTGGAAAATGGGGGACAGGAAGGAATTTTAAGTAGAGATTTATTAATTGAGAAAATGTTTCATGTTTGCTTGTGCTGCTTGCTGTTAGCAGCAGATTATTGGTACTGAAAAAAAATAATTCATTTGCTACTTTCAGAAAAAGTAAAATCAGCTAACATTTATACGTGAAAACTTTAAACTTGTAATGCAGTTAAATCTTCAGTGATTTAATTACTTCTTTAGGTCATTATCAGAGTAGACTCAGCTGGTAATGGAATAGCTTTGGCAGAGTTGTTCTAATGGAATTTTTATTAACTTAGAGTGTTATGGAGCTTTGAAGAGCAGTTTTTTGTAATACTGGATTCTGACTTCAGAAAGTTTTAGTATCCTGTGCACTCATACACAGTTAAATGTTCCAGGAGAAAACCAGTATATTTTTTTTCATCTCTGTTGTCTTTGACTTCTGTTTTACAGCTAAAATAAAAGATACTGTTTAAGTTGTATTTAAATAGCTACTTTCTACTTAATGGTTCTTCTGAACTTTACTAGCATCCTTTCTAGGCTTGCAATAACTAGCAGGGCTGGATAGGTTGCCCCTGTTTCTAATAGCAGATATGTTCCCTGTGTGTATTAGCTGCTGGATTTACCGTTAGCAGTGAAAACCTTATTGATGGTCGTGTATGTTGCTGCTTAATTCTTCATTGCTAAATACACTTCTTGAATAAGTGTTATTTCATTACATCTTTTGGCCGCCTTCTGTTCTTGTTATGTGTGTCTGCTGTGTTCCGTTGGCTTTGAAAGGAAGATTTAGATGTGGTGATGTGTCAATACACTTTATGTCTGTCCGCATTTAATTTTTAATTTGTGACCCCTTTGTGGCTTGCTTGCTTGTATTTTTGATGAGCTGAGATAAGGGCATTTTCCTCTCTCTTTGATTGTTCATGCATTACTGATGGCATGAATAGCCACATGGCTGCCAGGGGAGCATAGATGGAGTAGAGTTTCGGGGCTATGGTGCAATTCCGAAAGGACATTCATGAAATGTAGGAAAAAATGAGTACACAGACTTTGTGTTGCGTGTTTCAATGCATTCAATTTATTTTTTAAAACATGGGGAGGCTGTTAGTTGTAGCTTGTAGGACAAGAATGAGTAAGGTTGGTAGTAATAATTGGGCTATCTCATGAGAAGCAAGTTATTATTCAGTATATCAAAGCACTATACATAGTACTGTATATTTAAAAAAACCCCACCTTTGCTGCATTATCTTTTTATCTGAAATTGAAAGAACAAGTAGAGACCCAAAGTAGTAATTCTTAAAAAAACCCAAACCAAAAAACCCCCAGCTTTTCAAAAGTTATCCTAGATAATAGTCTGACTAAAAGCTGAGATTTTTAGTTGGTTCACTTATATCAGTATTTCTGCTCTGGAAGCAATAGTTTCAGCCAGTTTTTGGAGAATATAGTGACAGTAACCTTCCAAATACTGTTAACCACATGAAGCTCTTTAAAGCAAAGCACTACCAAATTGGTTATATTTTTTTTTAGTGTATGAATGTACCTAAAACTTAAGCAGTTTTGTAAATCTGCAGGTGGATCATATCTACCTATGTGACTCTTAACATGTGCAACAATTTTGCCAGAAAAAGTAATAGCTTTGTTAAATTTCAGATGAGGCTGTATTAATCATCGTTCCCCATGGTTCATGAGATACTGGATGTTAGAACAGTTATTTATTTATATTTGCAGCTTTGCTTTGATGCTGGGTCAAGCAAACGCCCAATTTTGCTCTGGTCTTAGAAGTGTGGACAAGCTTTTTGGGTTAAGTAGCAGTGCTGGGTGGGAAGTGTAGTGAAAATCATACTCAGAGGCATAAATAGAAAATTTTGTTTAAGATACAAATGTTAACATAGGAGATTAGACTTACTTGACACTTTTTTCAACTTGTTTCATTTACCACATTTAATATGTGTAGCTGTGGCTGGTCATATATTGAGAGGAGACTCACTTTTAAGTGCAAATTTACGGACCTCTTTGGCTTAGTGCAGTAGAGATTAATTGAAGTTAATTGTGACTTCAGAGATATTTGCCCTAAATCTTATTTTACTGCTCCTGTGAGTCACAACACCAGTCCCTTTTTTTTCGAGTACCTTAAGTTTGCCTGCTCCAGCGATACGGAAAAGTACAGTGGGAAAAGTTAAAACTTTCCTGACAGAAGTGTGTTATCTTGGCAGCTCTTGTTATTTATTAGCACCTGCTATCCTGGTATTTACTTACTGTAGTTTACCCAATAGTTTTGCAGATGGCAAAGTTGTCCTATAATGGGAACAGCTGCTTGGGAACACAACAGCTTGTCAAATGCATTAATTACATACACATGCAGCTGTAAAGGAACTTTACTTTTCCAGGTGTTTAACAAAGCTCACAAGCTATAGCTGAAAAACACAGAAGTTTATGTTGATCTTACTGCAAGCAAGAGCTAAATGTTTTTTTTCTTCTTTGCTTTAGCTTCTTTTATGTATCAGAGAAATCATACAAGTAACTTACTTTGACTGTGGGATGCATGGAGTCGTGTAGTAGCCATGGAACAGTATTTAGGTCTAATTGATAATTTTTTTTCCTCCTCTTCAATTTTATTTAAGAAAAGAGGTTTTCTTCATTACAATTGACGTGCTGTTTCCCAGAAGGATCTGTATGTGCTCTCTAATGTAATACTAAAGATATAATATTAGATAAGATAAAACCCAGCTATCATTCTGTATGAGTAATGCAGATACTCTTGCTAAGTTAGGAAGTTTGTAGAAGTCAGTAGTGGTGTGGTTTTTTTTTTGTTTGTTTGTTTTTTGTTTTTTTTTAATGTGGACTGTCTCTATTTAGTAATGGTAGTTGATTTCTGGTTTTAGAAATTATGTACATCTCAGCTGTTGCATTTTTTGTAATATGATTATTGTGTCTGAACAGTTGAAATCTAAGATGACGGTAGCAGTTGGAAGGGTTTGTGGTTTGTATGTGTGTGGCCTGATACTACTTGGAAGAGTCAGGACCGGACCTGGAGGGTGCTGCTGCCTTACCTCTTGTTACCAGGAGCTTGCTGCTTGCGTTATATTGGATTTCATGGGAAACTACCACAGGGAGAAAGCACTTGCTATTAAGTTTAAGTGAAAGGAATTGTTAAAAGTCACTCACTAAATTAGACTGAAATACTGAGTAAGATATGATTTTTAAATGAAGATGTGTCCTCACATTTATGACAGAACACTGGAAGAACTGTTGCACTTCAGGATACTTCATAGCAAGTGCCCTTACTCTGGCCTTCTTCATTCCTGGGTGCTGCTTGTTTTCCACAGTAGAAGAGACCATGATCTCATGAATAAGAGCACTGTTTACTAAGCAACTGTGTGTTTCTTGATATTTGTTCTCAATACTGGGTGACAATGGGGTTTTGTGGAGAAAAATACTTCTTGATAATGTGATTAAACCAATATTATATACTTATTCATATATAAAATGTATAATAAAGCTTATGATGGTGTGGTTGCTTGATCCAGCTATAATAATGCTGGCAGTCAGGGTAGGTGCAGGATTTTGGAATCCAGGAGTTTGAACTCATTCTTTGAGTGGTATAAACTTTTGTTTTCCATCTGCTGCTTTAGTGAGGTTATTTATTGCCTGTAGCATGTATTTGTTCATCCTCTTTGCCCTTGGCAAAGCATTTGTATACTCTAGCCCTGTGCATGCTCGA